GGGTCGTTTAGCAGGGTGTCGTTGAGACGGAACGGCGCTTGCGGGCGCGGCTTGTCTAGGATGTGGCAGTACTCGCCAACGACAGGGGCGTGGTCGGAGCGCGAGTTGTGGGACGCTTGGTACTTGGACCCGGTGAGTTGGACTGCCTCGGACGTAAAGATGAAGTCGATGCGCGAGCCAACCGTCTTGCCTTGAGACGCGCGTTCCCAGGTGAAGAGTGGGGCGTTCTTGCGGTCAACTTCGTCGAGTAAGTCACGCATGTTCAGCCGGGACAGCAGGGAGCGGAAGCGGCCTTGGACCGAGTCGGTCGTGTCGCTGTTGCTCGTCCGGTTTGCTGATGTGTTGTCCATGGTGATGTTGAAGTCTCCAGCCATGATCAACGGAAGAGCGGGCTCCTCTGAATTAGGCTGGATGACGTTCTTGATGGCTGTTTCGAGTGCTTGGAGGAATTGGATTTTCCTTTGGGTGCCGCTTGCTGGTGCGTAGACTGATGCGAGAATGGTCTTTTGTCCTCGCGCACCTTCATCTCCTCTTTCGTCACTGTCCTCAACTTGATCATTGGAACTGGAAATGAGGGGGCACGAAGTGTATTTGCTACAGCACGGCTCACAAATGTGGCGACTGTTAGGTATCTAACCAATTTGCCCATGTCAACTTCGACGAGTTGACATTGTACCTTTTTAGGTCAGTTGGTTTTGGGAGGGCAAACTCAATCCCTAACAGAATGTCAACTCTACAGCGGTCCCGGGTTCGAATCCCGCCAAACGCACAAGAAAAATATTCAATCGTCGCACTTTTTCTTGTGTTCCTCTTTGCCTACGTCAAGGCATTCACTTGTGCATTTGGAGGCATGCATTTCTTGGCTCATTTCCTGAGCAATCTTCTTTCTGGTTGGAGGGATAGAGACGAAGGGGCTAACATCGATTCTGGTGGTACGGTTAGGTCGCCGGGACGTCGCCCCTTGAGGAGGGGGTGGTGTTAGGTATCTAACCAATTTGCCCATGTCAACTTCGACGAGTTGACATTGTACCTTTTTAGGTCAGTTGGTTTTGGGAGGGCAAACTCAATCCCTAACAGCGACCGATCCAGTGTCAATAAGAGCTTGCACCTGCATCGCGGTATCAGACGAACCCGCGCACGCGACTTGCACCTGCTGTGTCAACGCTTCGTATCGCCCGACTCCTACCGCGTTCAGGGGGAGTCGGGCTGGGCTTTTCCCTGCGCGGCTTCACCTTGAACTGCCGCCACCGCCGGGGCCTGACCGCATGTCTTCCTGAGATGGGTTCCGGAGCCACAGCGGAAACAAAGGTGCTCACGGCGACGTCTCTCGAGCTCCTCCGCCGACAAGTTGTACTTGGCCGCCATAGCCTCCGCGAACGCCACCGCCGCCACCACGCTGGTCTGCTGCTTCTGCGGCTGGGAAGGCTGCTGCTTCGGTTGAGCCGCACGCTGACCATAGAACGGCGCCTTGTAGCTCGGCTGCGGCTGCGGTTGAGGCGGCGCCGCTGTGGACCTTTCGGCTCTCCCACTCCTG